TCACCACAGGCCGCAGGGGACTTCTGCTCCGGCGCCTGGAGCACCTCTTCCCCTCCTTCTTCACTGACCTTGGCGCCTGCAAGGCTGTTCCTCACCCCTCTCAGTCTCCCAGCTGCTGAGTGGTGCAGCATTTTTTTTTCCCCTGTCTTAAATATGCTCTCACAGAGGCGCAAAACAGCATCGCTTATTGGCTCGGCTCTGGTCAGCAGTGGGGCCCTTACCAAACATGGGGCAGCTTCTAGAGCCTTCTCACAGAAACCACCCCTATGGCCTCCTGCTACCAAAACCTTGTCATGTAAACCCACTACACTTCAGAGCAGCTAAACTGTTAGACTGAATTTCAGGGTAGTATCTTCATTATAAGTAAATATCTGTGTAATCACAGTCGCAGAAATTGACCTGAAGTTTTATTTTATTCCTGGATTTTGCTCTGTCCAAAAATTCTTGCCAAGGAAGTCAAGAGAGTTCTTCTATCTTTATGACTAGATAATTAAGTTTAAGATGTTTAGCTATTTTTCACATCTAGTCACTAAAAGTGTTAACCAGAAGCAAACGGAAAAACTATGTAATTTCAGATTGTATTCTATGTTCTCAAAACCCAGGAATGACAGAGGCTAATGAGACATTTCTTAAAGTAGCTTAGATGCTGATATGCTTGCAACAGCCCTTACATACAGTAAACTAAGCTAAACTGCTTCTGGAATAACAAATGGGCTGGCGGTGGTCTAAAAAATACTAATTTCTCTCTGTTCTAGAACATGGAAAAGCAACTTCGCCGCACTTGCAACACAAACAGAAGTGAGAGGAATGAAGTCTGAAAAGCACAATGCAGGAAGGGAAGAAGTAATGCCATTCTTATCTGTTTGAAACAAAAATAAATAGGAAGGTCCAAAAGCAATTGGTAACCAGGTTTTCTTTTTAATCCCTCTGTTTCTTTGATAATCTCTGTATAGAGGCAATCTACATCCAAAATCTCCCATGCAATAGAGTTGTGTATCAGTCAGATTATTGTTACAGGATTCATGCAAAATATTTTAAGGTAGAACGTAAAGCAGTTTAACTGTTCAGCTTGATCGTCTACTGTTACTTAGCACAGCACTTAAATGCACAATAATACAGTGAATAAATTGCATTCCCCCTCCCCACTACCAACTTTCCCACCAGAAAAATTTGTCAGAATGCAGTGTCTTGCCAGAAGCATATTTGCGATGCAGCTCCAGAAAAAATCAATACAGTATTCACAGTTCCATTACTTTCCAGAATGGAGCAAACAACATTAATAACTACTACCAGGGCTTTGCGTAGATGCAGAAGAGCCCAGCACTGCATGTACAAGGCCCAGGTGGAATAAAACTACAGCTCCCCTTAGCTTCTTCTCCCCTCTAACCTGTTCTGAACACAATACTAATTTTGGTTAATCCCAAACTGCCCAGCCTCAGGAAAAATAAAAACTAAAATATTCACAACAGAATGGGGAAAAGAAAACCTATTATTAAAATTAGATCTGAAAACTGTTTTTTAATAGTGCAATGCTTCCACACCCATCGTGCCTTACTTTTAAGACTGGATACATTTGAACAAGCCTTGCAAAGAAAACAGCACAAAACCCTGCATTTTGCAGAACTTTCTACAGAGGGCTTTCACATAAGCAGGGCCTTTAAATACACATTTCAACCTAACATGGTATCTTAAAAAGATGGACTGAGTTCTGATTTTCTGATCTTTATTTTTACTTTAAGTAAGTACAGAATACTTTGCTCATTGTTACACTTTCTTATTACTAAGACTATAACCACACACGATGAAGCCTGAGACTTTTCTCTTGAGAGTACAGGGTTGTCTCAGATATAAAGGGCACATTGTTAAAACAAAAGCAAACTGAATTCCTCTGTGTGTGTGTGTGTGTGTGTACACACCCATGTGAGTTCTAGGTCTGATCTCAACCTCATTGAATGTCTCTTCATCACAGTCACTCCCTCACCAGATGCCTCTTAAAATATAACTTCTGGACTAAGAGAGTCATCATCCTTTGATACTTTAGGCCTGAACAGCTTCAGAATTAGATAACTAAAAGTGCAAGAGCTAAGTTTCTAATATGCATGAAGTCTTTGCATTGTTTAGATGACCATTGATTTAGAATACACTGGAAAACCATGAGCTCAGCTAAAATCATGCCCAAGGCACCTACATGTATACTAATGAGAAACTTGTAGTAAATCAGTGTTATATCACTAGATAATGGTCTTCTCTTTGTAGTACACTAAAGCACAGACATAGATTTGGAAAGTTGTTATTTAAAGCGTAATCATCTAAGAGCTTTACATCAAATTACAGTCTTAATTGTTGGTATAACTTTACCCTGGTGGAACCCGCTATTGTGACTTGTGTGTGGCGATTACATTACACCGATGCAGGGTTGTGGGAACCACACTGTACAGGATTATCGTTTAAGTTCAAAATAGATATACTTGAACCTGAGCCAACTACTCCACTTGGTCTAACGCCATCCACCCCATCTGACGTACTGCAGTATAGAGCTAAAAATGTACCCATTGTTAACACAACGTCTCATAATGACCCTTGGAACCATTCATTGTCACGATATAGTGCAAGTGTTGGAACACTGCAAAACAAAAAGAACTTAAATCTCTCCACTCTAGTTATAAAAGGAGATGAAGTGTTTTCAAAAGATGAATGGAGTTAGAATGACTCTCTTCGGATGGCTGAACTTCAAGCCATTTCAGGACAGGCAATACAAATCAGTTGCCAAATAACTAATGGGTCTACTTACAATAGGTTGACTGAAATTAAGACGATTTATACTGACTCCTCCAGACCACAAAATTATAATACCGATTGTAGCAAAATAACTGAACCAAATTCTGATTGTGGGTACAATTTTACCTTCACCAAACCCATAATTGTGTACTGTCTTTGGGGTTACAGAGGCACCGAATTACTATTTGAATTTATGATTGATACAGCAACATTTGCATCAATTGCAAAGGATAAGAAGCGTCTGCCCCACAAATATCTGAAAATGTACCAACTTGGCCTCCCATTAGTCTACCTCTTTCCATCGTCAACACAGGTCCTTACAGAATTAAAAACATAGGACAACAACATGTTATCTTTAACCCTAGCTGGTCTCTTAAAAAGGTAGAGCTAGCGCTGTACATTAACATCTCAGAAATCAACCCAAAACGTGCCACATTTTTGAGAACTGCCTATACTGGCTGGTTGGCATAGTTACATGGACGTTCTCTGAAACAATCTCGGCGCATGCTGCAAGATGCCGCTGGGTTACTGAGAACAAGATTAGGTATATTAAATAGCATAGATGCCGAGGTCCTAATGAGTAGAATAACTGCTACTACAGATGACCTAAGGAAATTGGAACGACCAATAAAATCATCCTTATCATCATTCGGCTCTGGTGAGGCCGCACCTCGAGTACTGTGTTCAGTTTTGGGCCCCTCGCTACAAGAAGGACATCGAGGTGCTTGAGCGGGTCCAAAGAAGGGCGACGAAGCTGGTGAGGGGCCTGGAGAGCAAGTCCTATGAGGAGCGGCTGAAGGAGCTGGGCTTGTTCAGCCTAGAGAAGAGGAGGCTCAGGGGTGACCTTATTGCTCTGTATAAGTACATTAAAGGAGGCTGTAGAGAGGTGGGGGTTGGCCTGTTCTCCCATGTGCCTGGTGACAGGATGAGGGGGAATGGGCTAAAGTTATGCCAGGGGAGTTTTAGGTTAGATGTTAGGAAGAATTTCTTTACTGAAAGGGTTGTTAGGCACTGGAACGGGCTGCCCAGGGAGGTGGTGGAGTCACCATCCCTGGAAGTCTTCAAAAGACGTTTAGATGTAGAGCTTAGGGATATGGTTTAGTGGGGACTGTTAGTGTTAGGTTAGAGGTTGGACTCGATGATCTTGAGGTCTCTTCCAACCTAGAAATTCTGTGATTCTGTGATTATCGGCTTTAGGAGCAAGTCAACGGCTTCTATCAGACATTTTACCCCATTGAAGAAAATGATCTTCAATTAATTGTAAATGCCCTTGGAGAAAACCAAGACGATACTTCCTTGGCTTTGAGTTGCATCCAAGTGCAGTTATGGATACAGTCTAGCATCAGCTGTTATTAGAGGGGGGGAAGGGAGGAAACTTACTCACTGAAATTTGGAAATTAATTTGGGATAATGCTTCAGAATTTGAAAAGGAGTTCCAAGCATGGTGTCAATTCGTCAACTTTACCTATTATGCAGAAAGCGATAAAATTATTGCCTTTATACTTAATATAAATAATGCCACCGTATACAATGTATATCCAGTCATTGCATTAGAACTCAATCATAATGGAACTATACTTTATCCTAAGGAGCATAAAGCATGGGCCCATCAAAAGGGAGGAAAGTGGCAGACAATTGATGTGAGTGCATGTATTGTGCGCGAACAAAAAGGCTTCATTTGTGAAAGTAACACACTCGAGGCCCAAGACGTTTGTCTTGACACTGAACAAAATATTTGTCACTTTGAGTTACATCCCGATGAAACCCCTGAAACTGTACTTGTATATATTGGGAAAGGCTGTGTTTGCATGATAACCTGTTGTGATTCCATAGTCATAGATAATACTACTGTAGATACAAGTAATCACTCCATTGTTTGTGTTTGTGACTTTACCAAAATTCTAGGATGTGATTTTAGTTACTCGGCTCCCGTCACGACTCACCAACTTATTATATGCAATAATACTTTACTTCACGACCTGCTGCCTACCCCTGTTGGAATGAACCTTACACTGGTGAAGAAATTACTATCACATGAAGATTTGAAGGGGTTGGTGAAACAAGTTCAAGAAAATGGCCAAAAAAATCTTTGATTACTGTGCATCATGATTTGGAAGAAATACATCAAGTGTTGAAAAGAGTAAAGAAGGATGGAAAACACCACTGGAGGGACACTTTGTTCGGATGGTTGCCAACTGCCACGGGAATCTTCAACAAGATGCTTCATCCTGTCATTGTTTTATTAATACTCACTGCATTGTCTTTCATATTGACAATCCCTGTATGTTAAACTATGGATCATGATGAAACTTGTAGCATCCCTACAAGACGTACATATACTCGATAATCCTCATCATATGTGATACACCTGATATATTTCAAATGTCATGAAGCTTGAGTGACTATAGTCACGGAGTGGATTATGTGGAATAATTGCCTGAGATGACTTAGAAATTAAGCTTATATTCACAATTTTAAGAAAAGGCACTGAAGAAGCTTCCAGGGTGGAGTGTAGCTGCATTCCATAGAACTTCCCTAGGCCTCCAACCTTAGATGTTGTCCACACCAGGGGAACTTGGTGTGCTGACTCTAAGAGGAACTGTACGGAAGGTGGAGTGGAGTGGAGACGCTGTGGCCAGGCTCTGTGATAAGATGGGAACTCAGAGGTACATCGGAACCAATAAGCTGCATATTTGCTACCCTGGGCCAACGGCCTGACATGTTTTTGACAAAATGCTGTCCTTTTGGTGAACTTTGCTCATTATAATATCATTATAATACCAAAACACACCTCCATCCCAAAGGCTACCCGCCTCCAAGGTGCGAACACCCCTTCACTGAGCATGTGCTCTGAATTTCTCTGATCCTATACCTTTAAGCAAAAGCAAGAAAATTTAGCACCAATCGTAACAAAGGTATGCATGACTAGAGTCACTCAAGCTCCACCTGACTGATAAAAAAAAAGATATAAATTAGCTTAAGGGAGAGAGGATGTTAGGGAAGATATCATCACAAAGGAAAAGATATTATCTCAAAAGATACCTTCTGACTTTTGGGATCAGTCAACGGGCTGAGCCTCTCTTCCCCCCCGCCCCCCCCCCCCCCATTGGGATGCCTTTGGGTAAGATTCAAACACTTGGTTATACCAAGCGCCTCCCCAGGAAACTTAGAAATCTCTATAGAGTTGCTTCATATCTTTATATATTTTAACGTGTTTGTAGCCAGGCTGTGTTACTCATACTTTTGGTATTTGCACATGCTTTGCAGACAGTGAATTTATCATTGGCAATCCAAAGAACCCATGTATCTATTGTTTTAATAAATTGCACTGCTCATTAATCTAGCCATGGTAGTTCTCATGGAACATGACCAAACTCTTTTAAGTGTGGCCGTGGTAGTTCATGGAATGTGACTAGACTGAGGGTATATTATGTTATTTGTGCATCCATAATCGTGATAGTTCAGTACACTGAACGCAACCAGACTTATAATGACTAATTGGGCTTCACTCCCAATTACCTTAACCTTTAATGCAACAAAGAGTAATCATCTAAGAGCTTTACATCAAATTACAGTCTTAATAGACAATCATAAAGAATAAATGTTTTCCAAGAAAATCCCCATAAAAGTGATACTGATTCTACTTATTGCTTTTATTAAATAGCAAGCAGAAACAGTTTAATGCCACTCAGGTGTTATTGCCTCCCCTGATTAGAGGTGATGGCCTCTTACAGTGTTTCAATCTACTGCAATCTGTAGGGTTTCAAGACGACATATCTCCTCAAGTACTGGCTTAACATCCGGTTTAGAATCCTGCATGATAACAGGAGCTGTAAGAACAGTGTTTGGGAAGCAGACATCCCAAGAACACACACACACACACAAAACATTCATCTGACATTTGCCTTGAGACACTGAGAGTAAAAATAATCTCAACATGATGAATGAGAAGGATTGCTATGTTTGTTTTCAGCAGAACTAGGACTTCAACCAAAGAGATGATCTATACAATCTTTATAATGCATGGAAATACTGAAACAGATCAAATGCAACCTTAAGGCATTACATTCATTACCTTCACTGAATCAGCATGGAGATCATCCCCCATAGTATTCAGGACACTTATTTATGCGTTCCAAGCCAGGAGAGCTGTTTTATATTTCTCATGCTTATCTCATGGTCATAAAACTACTGTGACAGAAGATAATTTAAGCATGGTAGAGGTCTCCACGCATTACTACCTGACAAAGTAGTTTATTAGCCATTTCAATCTGATTTACATAGAGTCCGTCTGTTTAGGCATTTATACCTTACTTTTTTCAAAAGAGATTCAAAATTTCAAAATTGTCAAATTTAACAGTTAACAATGTTTATGGCTCCTAACAGCTTTATAGCAGCATAACTGAGTTTAAAATATTTGGTGACAGGAGGAAGACTACCAGCAAAATTTGGACCCTGGATATGGGGAGAGCAGACTTCAGGCTGCTCAGGGAACTAGTTAGTAAGGTCCCCTGGGAAACTGCTTTTGAAGACATCGGGGTCCATCAGTGCTGGTCACTTTTTAAGTACCACCTCTTAAGAGCACAGGAACAGGCAATTCCAAAATGTCAGAAGTCAAGCAGGCGGGGTAGAAGGCCAGCTTGCCTGAGCAGGGATCTTCTAGAGCTTAGGTGGGAAAAAAAAGTGTATGGCCACTGGAAGCGAGGTCGTGTGACGTGGGAGGACTACAGAGATGCTGTTCACCATTGTGGGGAGAAAAATTGTGTGGTCAAAGTACAATTAGAGTTGAAGCTGACCAGTACTGCGGGGGACAATAAAAAGGGCTTTATAAAAGTGTGTTAACAACAAAAGGAGGACCAGAGAAAACACTGGTCTATTACTTAATGAGGACGGTCAGCTCACAAATAGGGACGTAGACAAAGCAGAGACGTTTAATGCCTTCTTTGCCTCCATCTTCAACACCGATGATGGGCCCTGGGACCCCCGGAACCCTGAGTTGGAGGATCATGACCGCGATAACTATAAACTCCCAGCCAACCAGGAATTTGTGCAGGATTTGCTGCTCCAGCTAGATGCATACAAGTCTATGGGGCCCAATGGGATTCATCCCAGGATACTCAGAAAGCTGGCTGATGTCATCGCAAGACTTCTCTCAATTAATTTTCAATGGTCTTGGGAATATGGAGAGGTCCCAGTCGACTGGAAGCTGGAAAACATAGTTCCAATTTTAAAGAAGAGCAAGAAAGACCTGGGTAATTACAAGCCTGTCAGTCTCATGTCAGTGCCTGGTAAAATTATGGAGATTATTCTGGGAGTTATCAAAAAACACCTGCACAACAATGCAGACATTGGTCAAAGCCAACACGGGTTCACGAGGGGAAAGTCCTGATTAACAAACTTAATTTCCTTTTATGACAAGGTTACCCTCCTAGTTGACCAAGAGAAGCCAGTAGATGTGATCCTTTTGGTTTTCAGCAAAGCTTTCAATACTGTTTCTCACAGCATCCTTCTGGAAAAAAATGTCCAGCATACAGCTAGATAATACATAATACAACAGGCGAACAGTTGGCTGACAGGTCAGTCTCAAAGGACTATAGTAAATGGGGTTACATCAGGCTGACAGACAGTCACTACTGGGGTTCCACAGGGCTCCATTTTAGGGCCAGTTCTCTTTAATGTTTTCATAAATGACTTGCATGCAGAACTTAAAGGTATACAAAGTAATTTTGTGGATGACACTAAATTGGGAGGAGCTGTTGACTTCCTTGAGGGTAGAGAGGCCTTGCCGAGAGATCTTGATAAATTAGAGGGCTGGGCAATGTGACGGGTATACTCTACTCCTGCACTTGACATGTCTTGCTCAGGCTTATGAGCCACAGTAGGCCTCGATGTGACTGTTCCTTGCACATTGGAGTTCCAGAACACGGTAAGGAATCTGAGTTTGACTATAAGTCAATCACATTATCTTATAAATATAGAGGCCTGACTGCATCTCAGACTCTGCAGCATGGACAGTAGCCTAACCTGCAGAATACCGGAATTGTACATTCTGGAAGGTACCAGAATGACAGGGTTGGTGGAAAATACCAAAATTGCCTTATCTGAACCATAGCCAGGATGGAAAAGTACTCACTAACAGTCAATTATCTTGTAGCCCTATAAATAGTAATCCTAAGAAAAGAGCCCCTTGAGCTCTCCAGGGACAGCAGCAGGCTGCACCCGCAATCTCCCCCTGAGCTGGGAAACCCCTCCAGGTACCCGGAGAGGTATTTTAGCAAATTCTGTTGAAATCATTGTGTTATATTGGCTGATGATTAAATGCTGATTAAGTGCTGTTAAAAATCATAGAATCTAAACCTGTTATTTACCATAAAAGTATAAAATAAATCCTAAATTGCTGCTACATTAAAGTCGTGTAAAATCTGTTCTGCGACAAGCAATCACCAACAATATGAAGTTTAACAAGAGCAAGTGCTGGATTCTGCACCTGGGAAGGGGCAACCCTGGCTATATGTACAGACTGGGGGATGAGACGCTGGAGAGCAGCCCCACAGAAAGGGATCTGGGGGTTTTGGTTGACAGCAAGTTGAACATGAGTCAACAGTGTGCCCTGGCAGCCAAAAGGGCCAACCCTATCCTGGAATGCATCAAGCATGGCACGGCTAGCCAGTTGAGGAAAGTGACTGTCCTCTCCTGTACTGGTGCAGCCTCACCTTGAGTAGTGCGCAGTTTTGGGCACCACAATATAAGAAGAACAAAACACTATTAGAGAGTGTCCAAAGGAGGGCTACGAAGATGGTGAAGGGTCTAGAGGGGAAGACATATGAGGAGTGGCTGAAGTCACTTGGTTTATCCAGCCTGGAGAAGAGGAGACTGAGGGGAGATCTCATCGTATCTCACAGTTTCCACACGAGGGGGAGCAGAGGGGCAGGTGCTGATCTCTTCTCTCCGGTGACCAGTGATAGGACCCAAGGGAATGGTGTGAAGCTGGGACAGGGGAGATTCAGGCTGGATATTAGGAAACGTTTCTTCACTGAGAGAGTGGTCGGGCACTGGAACAGGCTCCCCAGGGAAGTGGCCATGGCACCAAGCCTGCCGGAGTTCATGAAGCTTTTGGACAACACTCAGACATATGGTTTGGTTTCTGGGTGGAGCCAGGAGTTGGACTTGATGATCCTTGTGGGTCCCTTCCAACTCAGGATATTCTATGATTATAATAGTGCTCATGTCTTGTTACCCAGCTAGAAAAAGGAAACTGAAAAGTTTAAGGACAAGACTTCGGTTTGGAAACACCTAAAAAAAAAAAAAAAAAAATCAAGAAATCAACAGGAAGCAAACAAAACAAAACAAACAAACAAAACCACAACAAACAAAAAAACTGAAAAAAAAAAAAAAAAACACAACAGCTTCCACAGCAAGATTTGTCTATTCCATATGCTCAAACAACAGATTGTCACATATCTTTAGATTTTAAAGCTTCGATCTGACTCTGTGGAAGTTATTATACCCTAGAGTTTAGAATTAGCATGATTTGTCAGTTTCCCTACAACTATAGTATCCTCTCTTTGAAATGGGTCCCTGCATCCTGAATGCTTTCAAGAAATGCATTTGAATAACTCCCCAGCCTTCAAGAGTAAGAGCTAAGAGTGAACCAACCAGTAACAGCCATTTACCTCTAACTGACAAAAATTAAAATACTCATTTCCAGGCAATTGCAAGGCCTAAAATACTTTTTTCCCCCCACAGTATTCACTAGCCTACTTGAGATCCTTAGAATTCTAATGCAGCCATCTCAAACTGGCACATACCGTAACCATCTTTATGAAGATAACATACTAAATACAGTCCAGCAAAAATGAAGAGAAGCAACAGAGAAGGGAAAATCTAGTAAGACAGATTTGGTTACTCATCTACAGCACAAAAGGCCATAAACGACAGTAGTTATAGAGAGGCTACTCTTTAATAAAACAGGAAGTAATTCAAGAAATTAAGTTTAACAGAACAGGAAATTTTCTGTTTTTACCAGACATCATGTCTGTGTAGCTTCCATGCAATTGCATGAAATGTATTCATTCTGGCCTGAGCAACGAATGCATTGTAGCTCAAAAATACCAACCTCACAGAGTGAGCGAGCAGGGGGGGTAGAGTGGTGGTGGTGGTGGTGGTCCAGTTACCACAGAGTGAGCGAGCGGGGGGGGGGCAGAGTGGTGGTGGTCCAGTTTGCCCAGAGTGAGTGGGGGGGGGGGGGGAGGGGGCAGGCAGAGTGGTGGTGGTGGTGGTGGTGGTCGTCCAGTTTGCACAGAGTGAGAAGGGGGGGCAGAGTGCTGGTGGTGGTCCAGTTGGCACAGATTGAGCGACTGGGTGGGGCAGAGTGGTGGTGGTGGTGATGGTTGTGGTCCATTTGGCAGAGAGTGAGCAAGGGGGGGGGGGGGGCAGAGTAGTGGTGGTGGTCCAGTTTGTAAAGACTGAGTGAGCGGGGGGGGGGGGGCGAGTGGTGTTAGTGGTGGTCCAGTTGGCACAGAGTGAGCGAGCGGGTGGGGCAGAGTGGTTTTGGTGGTGGTGTTCCAATTTGCACAGAGTGAACAAGCAGGGGTGGTTGTGGTTCAGTTTCACAGAGTGAGCGATCGGGGGGTGCAGAGTCGTGGTGGTGGTCTGGTGGTAGTCCACTTTGCACAGAGTGAGCGAGCGGGGGAGGTATAATGCTGGTGCTGGTGGTCCAGTTTGCACAGACTCAGCGAGCGGGGGGGGCGGAGTGGTATTGGTGGTGGTGGTGTTTGTCCAGTTGGTAGAGAGTAAGTGACCGGTGGGAGACAGAGTGGTGGTGGTGGTGGACCAGTTTTCACAGAGTGAGCGATTGGAGTGGGCAGTCATGGTGGTGGTGATGGTCCAATTTGCACAGAGTGAGTGAGTGGGGGAGTAGTGTGGTGGTGCTGGTGGTGTCCAGTTGGCACAGAGTGAGCGATTGGGGGTGTCAGGGTGGTGGTGGTGGTGTCCAGTTGGCACAGAGTGAGCGATTGGGGGTGTCAGGGTGGTGGTGGTGGTGGTCCAGTTTGTACAGAGTGGGCGAGTGCGGGGGGTAGAGTATCCCTTCCCAACCAGTGGACTGGCTCACCTTTCAGCTGCTAACTTTGCAACAAATCCAGCCATGGGCTCCAGTAGGCAGAAAGCTCTTGCCACAAAGAATGTGGCAACTCAGACCAAGTGCCTGCCTAAAAACACGGCTGTTTGGGTCTCAAGTTCTGCGGAGTACTTAAGCCTGTTGCTGCCATCAGAGGGTGCTGGAGATACTCACCTGTGTGAGTAGTGAGCAGGTGGATGATCTGATCAGCCTGGTGGCAGAGCTCAAAGAGGAGGTGGAGAGATTAAGGACTATCAGGGAGTGTGAGTAGGAGATTGGCTGATGGAGCAACTCCCTGCCATGCCTGTGAGAAAGGCACCAGAGTAATATACCCCAAACAGTAGTGGACCCCATGCCCTGTTGCTGTCAGGCAGAGGGAGAGGACCTAAGAGATGGGGAGGAATGGAAACAGGTCCCTGTTTTGCATCGCAGGCAAGCTCCCTCCCTCCCTACCTCGCCTCCCCAGGTGCCCTTACACAATAGGCTTAAGGCTCTGGAGCCTGAGGGACGTGTAAGTGAGGATGCCGGGGAAGGTCCACCCAGGAGGCTGTCTAGGGCAAGGAAGTCGACTCCACACCTCCAGTCTGCCTCCACCTAGAAGGAAAGAAGGGTAATTGTCATAGGCGATTCCCTTCTGAGGGGAACAGAGGGCCCCATATGTTGGCCAGACCCTACCCATAGGGAAGTCTGCTGTCTCCCTGGGGCCTGGGTCAGAGACATTACCAGAAAACTTCCTGGCCTGGTTAGCCCCTCCTATTATTATCCCTTAGTGATAGTTCAGTCTGGCAGCAATGAAATCGCTGAGAGAAGCCTGGAGGTTATCAAAAGGGACTTTAGGGAATTGGGGTGGTTACAGGATGGAGTAGGAGTGCAGGTGGTATTTTCTTCTATCCCCTCAGCGGCAGGGAGCGATAATGAGTGGACCTCTAAAGCCCGGCTGATGGCTGAGAGGCTGGTGCCATTACAGGAATTTGGGTTCATTTTGATCATGGGGAGGTTTACTTGGTACCTGGCCTGTAATGCTGCAGATGGGTCCTACCTGTCTCAAAGGGGGAAAGGGATCCTAGGCCTGGAGCTGGCAGGGCTCATTGAGAGGGCTTTAAACTAGGTGTGAAGGGGATGAAATGAGGCTCACTAGAGATGAGCCTGGAGGAGCAGTCCCAGGGCTGGAGGTGAGGGCAATGGCGCAACTGAATTGCATCTACACCAATGCACGCAGCATGGGCAACAAACAGGAGGAGCTGGAAGCCATTGTGTGGCATGCAAACTATGACCTAGTTGCCATCACTGAAACATGGTGGGACCACTCCCATGACTGGAGTGTTGCAATGGATGGATATAAGCTCTTCAGAAGGGACGGGCAACAAAGGAGGGGTGGTGGCGTGGCTCTCTACATTAGTGTTTTGATGTTGTAGAGCTCAGGGATGGGAATGATAAGGTCAAGTCCCTATGGGAAAGGATCAGGGGGATGGCCACCAAGGCAGACATCCTGGTGGGGGTCTATTATAGACCGCCAACCCAGGATGAAGAGACAGATGAGGTGTTCTATAAGCAGCTGGTGGAAGTTTATCAATTGCCAGCACTTCTCACGGGCGACTTTAACTTCCCTGTTATATGCTGGAAATACAATACAGCCCAGAGGAAGCAGTCTAGGAGGTTTCTGGAGTGCGTGGAAGATAGCTTCCTGACTCAGCGGGTTAGTGAGCCTACTAGTGGGGGGGGGGGGGGCAGCGCCCTGCTAGACCTGCTATGGAATGGAGAAGGACTGGTGGGAGATGCGGTGGTCAGGAGCTGTCTTGGGCAGAGTGACCACAAAATGGTAGAGTTCGCTATTATTGGTGAAGTCAGGAGGGGGATCAGTATAATTGCTACCTTGGACTTCCGTAGGGCAGACTTTGAATTTTTCAGGTCACTGTTAGAGAGGGTTCCTTGGGAGTCAGTCCTGAAGGACAAAGGGGTCCAGGAAGGCACGATGCTCTTGCAGAAGTCTTAAAGGCTCAGGAGAAGGCTGTCCCCAAGTGCCATAAACCGGAGGGGAAGAAAACCGGTGTGGTTGAACAGGGAATTTCTGCTGAGTGTCCAGGAGAAAAAGAGTTTATGTCCAGTGGAAGAAGGGACAGGAAACAAGGGGAGAGTACAGGGAAGTTGCTAGCATATGCAGGGAAAAAATCAGAAAGTCTAAACCCCAGTTTGAGATCAACGTGGCCACTGTGGTGAATCATAGAATCTTAGAATCACAGAATGGCTTAGGTTAGAAGGAACCTCAAAATCATCTAGTTCCAACCCCCCTGCCATAGGAAGGGACTCCACCAATTAGATCAGATTGATCGGGGCCCCATGCAACCTGGTCTTGAACGCCTCCAGGGATGGGGCATCGACAACCTCTCTGGGCAACCTGTTCCAGTGCCTCACCGCCCTCTGAGTGAAGAATTTCCTCCTAACCTCTAATCTAAATCCCCCCTCTTTTAGTTTAAAACCATTCCGCCTTGTCCTATCATTAGCCACATGAGTAAAGAGTCCCTCTCCATCCTTTTTAAAAGAACCCTTTAAGTATTGAAAGGCCGCAATGAGGTCTCCACGGAGCCTTCTCTTCTCCAGGCTGAACAGTCCCAGCTCTCTCAGCCTTTCTTCCTAGGAGAGGTGTTCCA